GGTGGGGGAAAAAGACCGGATCGGCTTCAGCCTTCCTTCCCCACAGCCCGGCTCCTCCTGTCCCGATGGTGCTTGCAGCAGTGGAGGAGGTGCCCGGTGCGGGAGAAGGCAGGAGCCGATCTGGCATTTCTCCTCCACCGGGCACCTCCTCCGCTGCTGCAAGCACCATTGGGACAGCTCTTTGGGAGAAGCCGGGCTGTGGGGAAGGAAGGCTGAAGCCTATCCGGTCTTTTTCCCCCACCGGGAGGCTTCTCCCAAAGCGCTGCGCCCGATGGTGGGGGAGAAAACCGGATAATCCGTTCCTATTGGAACAGATTGTCCGGTTTTCAATGCATCTCTATGGGAAAACGCGTTTCACTTAGCGATGTTTTCCCATAGCGATGTTTTTTTTGGAACCAATTAAAATCGTTAAGCGAGGCACCACTGTACTTCCCATCCCCCAGTCAGCCAGGGATGATGAGAATTACAGACCACCACATAAAAACAGGAAAGCTTTGGTAAATATTTGCATATTATACAGCAGGCTAAAGAACAATTTGGTGATATATCAGTAGCTTATATTTCTATAAGAGATCATCTAACGATTTGTCCACTCTGTACTCTTTGAATGACAGGTATTGGATGACAGATAGCTCTGTGAAATTTAATTTGGAGATGATGAAGTGCCACTCAGGAATGCCAATGATCAAGGAGGATATTTTCTTTTTTGTCCTACCTGGTGCAACCATTATTTCATTCTTCTTGGAACGAATGCGCAAAAATGTGAGGTCATTCTGAGGATCAATATCTCGTACAGTGCCCCTTGCCTTCATTATTAAATTGTGCATTAAGCCTGCATGCTGCATTGTGGTGGAGTTATCCATGGTGCTTTTGATGGGAATACCTGTAACGCAGAAAAAAGACTCTGTGGAAAAGTAAAGCTAAGACATTACTTGATAAAATAAAACTTGGTCTATTTTTTCTAATATAAGTCTCTTTATATCCAAGGTGACAGATATATAATTCACATAACAATGAACTCAACAGGCTGACTGTGTGAAATAACACTATCACAGATCAGCTTGATCATATAAACACACAACACATCAATAAAGTGGGTTAAGCTTTCTTCCTACTGCTGCATACTGTATATCATCCAGTTTAATAGAGGGATTAATTTCAATCATTATACATCCAACATTTTCGGCTGTTGTAGAACAGCACAAACAAAAATTAAGCAAGACAATATCAGTGAACATCAAGATGAAAGGAAACTTGGGTTGCATCTATGCACCCTTACATCCAAGTAAGCTCCACAGATGCTTCTTGGGATTAACTTCTGAATAAACAAACACAGGAGTGGACTGCCAACCACATAGATCTAAATGTATTATTTAAGATCTGTGGCTGTAAATATGCATTTGAATTAAATTTTACAGAATCTTTACAGGATTTATTCACTGCAATAGAAACAGAATACTGTATGTTGGTCTTGGGCTGAAAGTCCCAAAATTTTACCTGAGGAATTCTGGGAGTTGGAGTCCAAAGGAGCAAGGGGGAGGCATATTATATATATATATATTTGCCACAAAACTTTTCTACCCCAAAGTGTGTGCACACAGACACACATAACTATCCTGCATGCATGCATGCATTCACACCAACTATTTTAAACAAACTCTTCAAAGAGTAAAAATTAATTAATTAGTTTGATTTTTTTTAAAGATAAGGATGGGCAACTGTGGCTTTGTAGAGATTTTTTGGACTGTAACTCCCATAATCTCTCACAACTAGCTAAGTTTGCTAAGGATGTTGAGAACTGAAGCCCAAAACCACTTTGAAGGCCACTTCTGTTCTAAAGTAATAATTAAATTATATATGTCATTTTACTTAATACTTACAATATATAATTGCAGGCACAGAATGCAAAAACCCCCCACACCCCTTCCCTTGCCTACAAGGGCCACAGTCCTAGTCTTATTTGGAAGCAGGACCATTCTTGCTCTTATTAGGCAGAGAGAGGCTTCAGGTGGCAAATGCTGGGGGGAGGGGGAGAACAGTGGCAAGGTATTGTAAGGAAAAAACGCTATGGCCACCACGGAACCTAGCGTGTGACTCATAACTAGCTCAGTGCCCTCAGGTAGAGTCCAGGGTGTTGTTGAGTGACCACTGCAGAGTCAATGGTCAATCCTGTCAGTTTCTGCATATGGAATGGAGGGGGTTGTTATCTTGGCGTTTGCCTCAGGCAGCAGAATGCTTTGGGCCCACTCTGGTGAAGAGGAAGTCCCACTGAATTCAATAGGGCTTGTGTATGACTAGATTAAGACGATAGTGCAAGCCAGCAGTATTACAATTTTATCTTCTCATGTGGAATAGAGCTGTTATAGTATGTAAATGCAGAACTTCTGGCTTCCCTCTTCTTCCCTATTAAACCATCAAAAACATTTTCTACTGATAAAACTTCGGAATCAAAAATATTACAGCAACCTTAAGACTAGCAAACTTATTTCATGTGAGATTTTAGTGAGGGCCAGTTATTTCATTTCATGGAACAGTGTACTGAAGTAAAGTTCTTAATCTCGAAAGATGCCAGAGGCTTCTGCTTCAGCTGTTGCTATTGTCATTGGTGAAACTGATACGAAATCTACTACTCTGAAAATGGCAAGGATGGCCAGACTCCTGAGGTTTGCATGTGTGGGCTTCACATGCTACCACCCCTACCCTTAAAAGTACTTACAAAAATTGGCCTATCAGGGCAGCATTTACAGCCAAGCAACAACTTCTAACACTGCCCAAGGAATACTGCAGATTTGGGAAAACATTTTCTCTTAACCACTAGGTAATACTGTTGATTTGGATGCAACTGGCTTACTTAATGTGTAAACTAAACTTTATCTTGACTTTTCTCACATAGGATCTGTCCTGTTTCTGTGTGCCTCCTGTCTACCAGCCAAAAAAGAACCATATGTTTCCATGTAAGGCATTGTGTGGCAGTAATAAAGGTGCACCATCTAATACGTTTCAGGCATTCTAATTCATATTCCCAGAGGTGAAATCTGAAACATACCATCTCTTTTTTTCAGTGCCAGCTCCACCTCTGTAAGGCTCAGCCCAGTGTAGATGCATGCAGAGTCAAATGTCAGTGTGCTCTTGAAGGCTTTAATGGCCGGGATCTGATGACTGTTGTGGGTTTTTGGGGCTGTTTGACTGTGTTCTGGAGAACACGACAAAACAGCCCGGAAAACCCCCACAATCATCAAAAGCTAGCCTCTGTGTGTGAAATTCTAGTGGACTAACAAAGGTATTATCCACCCTTGTCTTCAGATTTAAAAAGTGGGATACTTTCCAATGGGAAAAGGTTCCCTTGTGCCCTCTAGTGGCCAGTTATTTAAAAAAACCACACTGAATTGAATCCAGGGTTGAGGTGTTCTCAAGACACGGCAAAATTGCCTCAATACTCAGGGCAAAGGGCCACATTTAGAACCCCAGGGACTACATATGGCCATGGGTTTCACCTTGCCCACTCTTGCAACCAACTATACCCAATGAGCAAAGTAATTGTTTGCACTAATCTAGATAATGCAAACTAAATAGAACATGTGGAATTAATGTACAGAAAATCTGATTCTGGATTCTGTCTAAATGTTGGAGGACTTCTGCTAGACTATTCTTAACACAGAGATTATTCTTCTACAGTTCAATGCACAAAACAGCTTACAAAACCACCACCCAAACTGCAGACAATGAAAAACAATAAACTGACTGTTCTTTTACTGGCAAGTTCCAAGGGAAGCCTGCAAAGCAAAAAGGATTGCGTGTGGTCAGTAATTTTCCAGGAAATGTCTTCTGCTCATGTTGCTCCTACTACTTGAGGTTATAGATTTTTTTAAGTGCATGGAATGCATTGATTTAACGTGTGAATGTCAGTACTGAGCAACTCCCTCCAACACCATATTTTAATTATGTTTTCTCCAAAATAAGCTTCCAATATGTTCTTTTCTAGAACCCTAGGATAATGGTTTCTTATGAAAATAAGTAATTTCAAAATCATCCTTTAAGAACAAAGGAAAATGCTCAAGGTTTTACATAATATCCACAAGAACAAGGATGAAACTAAGCTGCAGAAAATGAAGCAAATATGTATATAAATGGCTGGATGCAAAACAATGCATGTGACAATTTTACATACATGGAAACAGTGTTTTACAAGAGTCAAGCAATTGTGCTTTTCTAATAAATACAATGGTCTGCATGCTCAATTTAGGAGGAAATGAGCAGAGTAAACTTTCAACTTGTCAAAATGAGTTATTAGTGATCTATCTGAAAAGGACAGTGTTACAAAATTTTGATAACGTTTATAAAATATTCTGTACATCAAATATTCCGCAATTGCCTAGGAGGCGACCACCATTACACTGTTTGTTGGAGGGGCAGGGCATCCCTACAAATCTGTTACCTACTCAGATATTTCTGATTTAGGGAGGCTTGCAACATAAGAAATGACAAGGTTTTGTATCACAATGGATATTTTTAACACCCCAATGATTCCTTCACACACTAAGTGATGTTTTCACAGTTCTTCCAAGCAGAGAGATATATAGAGCAACAGAGACTGAATCTGAGATGTGTCCCCAAAATGCAGGGTTTGTCATACACACATACACCTGTCCCCCAAATGACAGAATACCTTCTGAATTAACAACGATGATTCCTTGGACTCCTTTCTGACTTTGAATTCGCTTCAGGGTTTCTTCCACCTCAGCCTGCAGAAAAAGAAAATACACCAGCATCTCTTGAAATATATAATTTGTTTTTAGATAATGCTCTGTAATCAGACTTTGGGAAACAGAGAATTGGATACTCCTGTACTCTGAGTATAAATGCTTAGCTCATTCCAGCACCACTATCTCACACAGTGCTTATCCCATAACTTTTCCTCTCATTACTTGGAAGTACCGGTAAGTCCTCAGAAGCGAGAAATCTTTTTTCCTTGTCCTCCCCAGTAATTTACTTATGATACTCAAAACCTCATGCAAGGCAAGGCAATGCCCCTGGTGAACTTTTGGCTGACCCAAAAACAACACCCTCTTTCATCTTACAACAAAGGCCTTGTCAGACATGATTTTCTACATGGAAATCATTTCCAAGCTAAGAAAATACTTGGGAGAGTACAAATATTTAAATTCTGCTACAACCTAACATCAATAAGCCAAGATGTACATCTAACAGAGTATCACTGTCCAGCTGCCATGGCATGCAAACAACAAAGTTTCAGGACCTTGACAGAACTGCACGGGGAAGTTCAAAATTAAGAGGTTTTTCCCCTGCAGATAAAATGTTATGGATCTGGAGAGGTCTAACAAGCAGCCTACACCATTTCAATGGCTGGCAGCATCACAGCGACAACAAGATGGAGAAGCTTCTGTGATAAACTAAAAAAGTAAGGTGACCAAAAGAGAGCCTCAAAGCATAATGTGTGTGAGTTTTTACAAACAGTGAAAATGCTGTTGCAAAAGCAATGTTGCTTTTGTGATGCATCATTAACTTTTTATTAAATGGAAGGCCAGATCCTGACAAACTGTATGAGACAGTTATAGCCACTTCATAATGCTTTGATGAGGCATTTAGAATTATCTGCTTGAGAATCTATTTATTTATTTACATTTATACTCCACCTTTCACTAAAGATAATGCTCAAGGGGACTTACAAACATCTTATGCTATGTGCATTGCCTGCAGTTTTGGTGGTTTTTGTAAGCTGTTTTGTGTGCTGCATTACAAACAAGTAATCTATGTGTTAAGAACAGTCTACCAAAAATACTCCAAAACGTACAGGTAGTCCAGAGGCAGAGTCTAGTATACTTCATGAAGTACAACAGAGAACAGGTCGCCAAACTACGTACAACTCCTAGGATTCTGTGACAGTTAAAATGGTAGCAAACTACTATACTACTATGTGACTTCCCTACAACAGAGAACAGGTCGCCAAACTACAACTCCTAGGATTTTGTGACAGTTAAAATGGCAGCAAACTACTATACTACTATGTGACTTCCAGCCAGCCTGGTAAACAAGTATACAGTACAAACTTTACCATCAGAAAGAGCCCTTCGGTAGCAAGACAGAAAAGACATGTAGCTAAAGAAGAGTGTAGGCAGCCCTAGTTATTATTGCACAGTAAAGGTTCTCACTCCTTTCCCTCACTGAATCTTGTTATACCAAGAATAACAAAATACATTATGAGGCAATGCCGCCAACTAAAGCATTCCATGAATGTCTGGAAAAGCTTTTTTTGTTGTGCCTTTTCTATGGTAGAAATTCACAAAGATGGCTGGGATTATCTTCATCTTCATTTGTAACCCGCCTGTTTTCCCACTGCTGGCCCCATCCAACACCCACTCACATCAAAATACACACTAAATTGGTTGAGGGATAACCAACAGCTGCATAGTGTCTTTTGACTTGTACCGCAAAGAACCCACCTGTGTGGAATTATCTGCAACTTTGTCAACTGTACCTATGTTCCATGACTGTTGAATATGTCCAGCTCACTACAGTAGTTTAGTTCTTGAGGAGGACAATGCCCTCATGGATATAATAAATTATACTTTTTTTATTCTTCTGCAGAGCTCAAAATTCTCCCAGCATGTGAATACCTGGCTGTTGTTTCTCACTGGCAATATTTTGAATATAATCCTGGCAGCACCCACCACATAAGTTCACTGTTACAGGTGTGATCTACGAACACAAGTTTCAGTATCATAACAAAGGTTAGGGAACAACACTAGGGAAGAACAACACTTAAAATATTGTCTTCTGTTCTGACTCCCACATCTCATCAACATCATCATCATAAAAAAACAACAACAATAACACAGTACAACTACAGAGTTGGAAAAGATGGAGAAAATGGAGAAACCCAAAATAAAGCCCAAACAACTACCCTATGAAAAAAGTCTTTTATGGCCAATTTTTATTATTATTCCTATATTCAGGAGGAGAGAAAAGATGACAGATTCCTTAGAAGAGAAAGTGAGCACTCATAGGCACCATCATAAACACTCCTTTACAGGAACACATGCTTTGGAGGGTCTTGTTGGTAGAAAACTTTTGTTTTGTTTTATTAGACCTAGTGATTCCTCAAGATGTTTTTGTTGTTGTGTTTTTGCAACAAACACAGGTAAAATCTTGCATTTTTTGTCTCAGTGGCTCTCCCTCCCTGCAGGGAGCAAAGACCTATTTTAATGGTCTGCCCTCAAAGGCTACAGGATACTATAGGATTCCAGGATTCCACGAGAGGGATTCCGGCCGATCTGACTCGCGCTCCTGTCAAGGCTCTGGTTGACGACTGGCTGTTGACACTATCATTCCTAAACGTCCTCTCTGCTGCAGAGTTCGGCCAGCACCCTGGTTTAACCAGGAGCTGCGAGCTATGAAGCAAAACAGGAAAAGGCTAGAGTGCAATTGGAGATGGAACCCGATGGATTATAATCGGAAAGCTGTCAGGATCACGACAAGGAGCACGACTAACCACCTTACTAAGGTGAGGGCTGCCAGTCGAGATCACTTCTCTGTCTGGATAAGCGAACCTTTCAATCAGTAGGCGAAACTTTTCCGTACAGTTCTCAATCTTTCTGGAACTGGTCATGGTGATTGGCTTCCCTCTAGCATCTCATCTGACCAATCTGCAGCCTTTTTAAAATCAAAAGTGGAGGCCATCCGCCGGGATCTTACCCCCTATTTGGAAACAGTAGATTGAGCTGATAGGTACGTGGTGGCGCTGTGGGCTAAACCGCAGAAGCCTGTGCTGCAGGGTCAGAAGACCAAGCAGTCGTAAGATCGAATCCACGTGACGGAGTGAGCGCCCGTCACTTGTCCTAGCTCCCGCCAACCTAGCGGTTCAAAAGCATGCAAATGCGAGTAGATTAATAGGAACCAGCTCGGTGGAAAGGTAATAGCATTCTGTGTCTAAGTCGCATTGGCCATGTGACCACGGAAAGATTGTCTTCAGACAAAACGCTGGCTCTATGGCTTGGAAACGGGGATGAGCACCGCCCCCTAGAGTCGAACACGACTGGACAAAAACTGTCAAGGGGAACCTTTACCTTTACCTTAGACTGAGCTGAGACGTGCAGCAATCCATCTTGCCTGATGAGACCTAACCACTTTCAGCCTGTGATGTCAGATATGGTGGAC